GTTAAAAATTGCTCGTAGATTTCACGTTTCGAGGGATGCGGGGGTGGGTTTGCGCTGTTTTGGTTTGAAAATAGGGAAAAAAAAAGAAGAAAAAGCCTAAGCTTCGTAACCCCAGGCTGGCGCGGTTGCGCCGCGACGACGAATAACAATACCGACGATTACCAATATTAATATTATTATTGCAGCAGATGCAACTATTGCTATTATTATTATTACGATAATTATTATCATTGCGATGATTACTATTATTATCATTATTATCAGGGAGATAATGATAATTGATTAATATGATTATTATATGCAACGTTGAGTATGTTACGTTATCATTTTATCTACGAGAAGTTGTAAATTGAGAGGAAACTTGCATAAGAAGAAAAAAACAATAAAAAGCTTTAACAAAACCCGTCGATCGATTCACTCGCAACGTACCATTTCTTCGATCTATCCCACTTCCCACTTAATTCACGAATCATCGTATTCTCAAATCACTTCCCAAGAATAATCATTCTTAACTCAACCTTGCATCGATTCAGAGCAATATCGCATCAGACGAAAAACATCTGGGAAAAATTACCTATATCACTTTATCTCGCAATATTCAGTCGCTGTTAACCCTTTGCACTCCGGAGGCGCCTATAAGTCACCAAATGATTTGACACAGCAAAACTGTGAACTTTGATATCTAATATTAAACTTCGAATAACGCATCAATGTACGATATATTGAAAGAAAATAGTTCTCTTCTTGAATTCATGTGAGATTTTTTAATTCAATCTAAGAAAATCTCATCTGTATCTTATTAGAAAATATTGAATATTTCCGTTGAAAAACTTCCGGAGTGCAAAGGGTTAATAAGAGTACTTATCCAATGAGATCAAAAATATTGTGTCATTAAAAAAATATCAAAAAATAACATTTATTCGAATAAATTTACTTCGATTCATTTCCCGAAGAATACAGTAAGAAAATAATCGACACTGATAAACAGAAGCGCCTCCGCTCTCCGCAATTTTGGCACAGCACAAAGAGCTACGGCGTTCCTCAGCACTCAAACGGTTAACCGTCCCGTTAAATCCTCTCCCACGATAGACGCGCGATCCCTTTCCCCTGAGAAACTCTCGGCAAACGTAACTCCTGTCAACCTGAACGAACAAAAAGCTTCGTAGGGGTTAAAATGTGCGGCAGCGGTTCCACGGACGTTTTCCATAAATCCCGCGGTGCACGTTAGAATGTGGCTACTTCGAAGAATGGTACACGATTCCAACGGGACACGGGTGATCTTCAGCGGTACTTCTTCGGCTGGTTCGCCGCTGTTCTTCGCTGCTTCACCCTCTAAACGCAGGTAAGTGGACGCGCCGCGCTGCGCGGCGGGGCCCGTTACGGGGCCCAATGCACCACAGAGCCCGCGATCGGCG